TCCTCATCCTTTTCCGCATCCTTCTTTTATTCCGTTTCCTCATCAGTCTTCTCCCCCTTTTTCCAAAAGGGACAACTGCTGCCGCGTCTTCTTTACACCGCATGCTGCTTTACTTCACTAATCAAAGCAACTCGCCTGGGCATCGTCTCTGGATGGGCTGGTGGCAATTTTTTTTAGTCGGCGGCCGCGGGCGAGTGCCCCGGCGGCGAGTCAGGTCAAAGCGGGCTACGCAGAGACTAACTAGGCAGAGGGAACGCGAGAAAGGCTGGTGGCGATACTTTTTTCGGTCGCGTCCGCCAGCGAAGGCGCTAGCGGAGTCAGAAGCGCTCCGGGACACGAAAGCGGCCTAATTAGCTACTAAACGCGCCGCAGGCCGGCCGGCCCACTCACCAAGCAGCGGCTGACTGCGCGGGGGATACGGCGAGCTGAGGGCGTCCAGGGAAGCTCGGGCACTTGCAGCCCAGCAAAATGCTTGAAAATTAAGGTTGTGCCGCGAGGCAAGACCCACACGAAGCACGAGGACGAGTGCGGCAGATTGCGTGTCCAACATGCCCGCTGATGGCGATACATTTTTTTCGCGGCTCCAAGGCGAAGGACAGGGAGCGGGATCAACGTCCGGGGCGCGGAACGAAGTAAATCGGCGCTGGTGGCGATATTTGTTTTGGTCGCGGCTCCAAGGAAATGCCCAGGGAGCGGTCACAACGTCCGGGGCGCGGTACATTGTAAATTTGCATATCCAACCGTCACTGTCGACAGCCGACCGCACCTGCAAGCATGCTCGCAGTTGCACATGCACAGTACAAAATGAACTAGATTCGCAGACGACGCACATAGGCGCAGCAGCGAACCGTGAGGCGCGAGCTACAAGTGCGAAGACAGCTGAATGAGTCGCCAATCTGGCGCCAAACTCAAGCAAACCGTGCGAAGTGAGCGAGCGACCGGCACGCACTAGGCAGAACCATGTACAATGGAGAGGCAAAGGAGGCCAATCGCACCGGACTCACTGCGCCACGAGGTTGGTCAGCTGGAGGCGATACTTTTTTTCGTTCGGCGGCTCGAAGGACAGATCCAGCGAGCGGGAATAACGTTCTGGGGCACAGAGCGAGATAATTGGCTGCAGTGGCACGTAGGCCGCTGTAGCAAGTGCACATGCCAGGGACAAAATGACCCTCATTGGGGACCGAAGCAGGCGACCCGGCGGGTGGGGACGCAAGCACGGCACCAGCGGTGGACGGAGAAGAGCAGTCGCCCTAACGGCGCCAAGCTCCCGCCGAACCGTCCAGCGCGTAAAAGTGCGGAGCACGCTGCACTGAAACGGCACGGGGTGGCCGAGCAGAGACCATACTCCAGCCACCGCACACAGAAGGTGAGGCGAGATGGAACAGGAGACGCGGCGGACGCCAGATGGGCACCCAGAGGGAGGACAAGGGGGAGGCACAGAGGGAAGCCTCACTTGCGGTGACTCACTGTTGCAGACGAAAGTCTGCCTCTCTTGGACGTGAGAGCAACCGATACCCAGTCGACGATCACTGTGTCGCAGACGTCGGGTCTGCCCGCTCTCGGACGCGGGAGCGACGGAGACCCAGTCAGCGATCATACGGTGACTCGCTTCCAGCCTGTGGCCAGTGCGCACGCAACTTATCCGACACTGGAAGATCGGGGGCACAAAGTTGCAAGCGCTGACCGAGGCACCTGCAAGATGGGCCAGCTGGGGGAACAGCCATGACCTGCCGAAGGTTGAACCACTCGTGCAGGAACACGCCCTTGCCAGGCCCGCCCCTTGCAGAGGCGTGGCTAGACCACGTCAGAGCGCCAACCGGTAGAGAAAGACCACTGGCGTGCGCTCACGAGGCTGAGCCACCTCCAGCCGGTAGCCAGCGCATGCGCATCGTATCCGACTCGCAGTTCGGGGGCACAACGATGCGAAGTACTGACGAGGGCTGTTCAGAAGAGAGCGACCACGAACTGCAGAAGGCTGAACCACTCAACGCAGGGTCGCTCGCTCGACGAAGCCAAACACCAAGACACCGAGTTCATGGCTGACTGCTGCACCCAACCGCACCTGCCACGCTGCCCGCGCAGTACTCTGGCGACGGGCACTGGCCGCACGGGTAACCGCATCCGTCAACTCCGCACACGAGCCCCTGCGACACGCGGACTGAGCATGTCGGAGTCGGATTGGGCGTCGCCGTCGGCTCCGCCGTCGGCGCTGGCGTCGCAGCGATGTCCCTTCACAGAGCTGGGGGCGCAGCCAAGAGCCGCAGAGACTTGTGAATGAACGTGGGGGGCGCAACCTAGTGCCGTTGGCACAACCACAGTGCCCTGGGCCTCCACGCTTGGACCGGGCCAAAGCACTGGCACGTCCTCAACCAAGGCACACTTCGTTGGGGGCGCAGCCAAGAGCCGAAGAAACTCGCGAATGCCACCTCCAGCCTGTGGCCAGTGCGTTCACAACGTATCCGACTCACACGGTTCGGGGGTGCATCGATGCAATGTCCCGGCGAAAGATGGGGCTATGGCTGCACCAAGCATAGCGAAACGAGCATGGACCGCAGACGCACACAGACGAAGTCGATCCTGGGCAGGTCACAGGGCGGCGCACTTCAACGGTCGATGCAATCAATGCTGGGGGGCGCAGCCAAAAGCCGCGGAGACTTGTGAATGCAGGGGGGGGCAACCAAAAGCCGCAGGGACATTATGGATGGATGAACAGAAATGATGCCCTGGACCTCCACTCCACAGGCCTCTGCCTTCCTGGTTGTTGTTCACACGCCCCAGGCAATCACAGAAACCACGCTCAGAGAATGCTGCTGAGCGGGTCGCAGCGGCGGCCCCGGCGACACGCAAAGGGGGGCAAACGGGAAGCGTGTCGCCCAGCACCGGGAGCGGGAGGCCAGGAGAAGCTCGGGACGCCAGACGTCAGGGGATCTGGCAACGAGCACTGGCCGCACGCGCCACCGCAGCCGTCGTCTCCGCACACGAGCCCCTGCGACACGCAGACTGGGGTGCATGTCGGAGTCGGGGTCGCAGTCGGAGTCGGGTCAGGCGTCGCAGTCGGCTCCGTCGTCGGCGCTGGCGGCACATGCTTCCAGTCGGCGCAGAGAAACGAGGAACATCTTGCGGCCACACTGCGCAGCGCCGCAGTAGAAGCCGAAGATCACCCCACGCCCCTCGACGCAAATATCCCCCCCCCCCATGCTCGTGGCTGCGCGGAGAAGAGCGAACGAGCATGGACCGCTAAAGGCTGTGCCACTCGGTGCAATCTATGCCGCCGCCACAGCCCAGGGCGCGGGGGGCGTGCCCGGCTGCCAGACTCGCAGAGTTGGTGCAATCTTGGCGAACAGGATGGGGGGCGCAGCCAAGAGCCGCAGAGACTTGCGAACAAATCTTCCTCGGCACCACACTCTGCATGGGGGCGCAGCCAAAAGCCGCAGTCACTGTTGAATCTTAAATAGGGATGGGGGCGCAGCCAAGTGCCGCTGAACTCGGATCCTGCACAAGGGGAAGAGGAGGAAGAAGGGAGGCGCAGCCAAGAGCCGCAGTAACTGGCGAATTGGAGGAGGAGGGGGGTAGGGCGGCCCACTGGAGCAGTGCTGCCTGCTCTAGGTCCTCTCTCTGTTCTCCCCACAGCAGTCCCTGAGGTGGCGCCTCAGTCGCCGCGGGGGGGGCCTGCTCGCCTGTCCTCCAGGTGGGAGGCCAACGCTGCCGACTTCTATGGACTCAGATCGTCTTTCTCTGGACGCCTCGTTCGCTGCCGTCCCCCAGTTGCCTGACGCGCAGTGATTGTTGCAATCTTTGCGAACAGGATGGGGGGCGCGGCCAAGAGCCGCAGAGACATTGCCAATGAGTCTGGTGGGGGGCGCAGCCAAGAGCCGCAGCGACATTGCGAAGGACAAGGAAGAGGGGGCGCAGCCAGTGGCCGCTGAACTCTGTGGGCGATCCCGCAGACCGACGGAAACGGGATGCAAGAATACCAGAGCCACCGAGGGCGGATCCGGGACCAGCACCGGCCCCCCAGGGAGCCCGGCGCCAGGATGCAAGTAACAGGAGAACCCACGGGTCACGCCAACCTTCACACTGCAGTCGCAGAGTCCACACTGTGTTCGTCGTCATCGCGTTGGAACTGCATGGTCGTTTCCTGGAGCTGCACGGCACGTCCGACAACAGCACGTCAGAACCGAGAGGGCGAAGGAATGAGACCCCAAATTGTGATGATGAGCACGGCGTACGACGCGTAATCAACAGAGAAGGCGGGTCTCAGGGGGAAGCCAGACTGCCCACGGTATAGCCACACCCGCAGCACGCAAACAAAAAAAAAAAAAAAACGAAGTCGACGGTATAGCCACACACACACACAGCACGTAGACATCAGCCAAGAAGAAGAGGTAGAAGTCCTGAACGAAACAGAAGCCGAGGCTACTGTGGGGAGACGGCCCACCACCGTTTTTTGCGCTCCTTGGGGGCCTGGTGGTTCGGGTGGCCCTTTGCCGCGTGGTGATCCCTGTTCACACCGACGCTCCGACCCCGGTGCAGCTGCCACGGCCGAGACCAGTCGACGTCGAGGTCCAGCGCGTCGCTGAGGACCCTACGTCGCACTTGTGGCTGCGGAAGGACTCCAGGAAGAGGTGGCAGGTTTGCGGGTCGTGCCGAAGCAGGTCGAGCGCGCCCTTGCTGCCGGGCACAAACTGCTGCTTGGCGAAAGCGCGCCAGGTGCCCGCGAACATCGGCCCCAATGTGACTCGGAGTCGGCGCATCGCCTCGCCGGGTGTCTCCCCAGGGAGGTCCCACTGGATGTCGTTGATTCCTGTTTTGTACAGCTGCTGTCCCGCGTCGGGGCCCTTACGCTCTGGCCGCTGACGCGGGTCGGGCCTCTGGTGCCGCCGAGTGTCCTGGCCGCAAGTCTCCACCGCACGGGCCTCGTTGTCCTGGCTGGGGGGCTCGCGATCTGCTCGCGACAGCTCCAGCTGCACGCCTGGCATGGTTTTGCGGGGAAGTGCAGGCCGCATGGTTGGCCGCCAGGCTGCGGTCGGGCCGCGTCGGGCGGCCAGGGCAGACGCAGCCTTGTGGCACGTAGGGGGGGGGGGGGGGCCTTTCCGCTGGCGTTCGCCTTCGGGCCTGCGCCCGCCGTCGCTCCCAGGTGCGCCCCCTTTGGGCAGCGCAGGACTCGCTCCAGCCTCTGGGGCACCACTGGTTGTGCCGGGCGCGAGCACACACGGCGCCACAGCATCCATAGCCGGGGCGCAAGCTGCTTCGCCAGCGGCGCCCAGGACGCCCGGCGAGGGCGCCCGGGGTTCGCCGTCCATAAGAAGCTCACTGCCGGGGGAAGGGGGGCGAATAGGCGCGAAGAGGTTTCTCCCGACGAGCCAGCGCATGGCTTCGCTGTCCTGCGTCTGGGTGGTTGGTACCTGGTCTCCCTGCAGGGTGCGTGGCTCTCCCAGAGGACTGTTGACGGACTGATTGCCCTGAGAGGGGTGCACCGCGGCTTCCGCAGCCTCCGCCGTGTCCGCCGTGACTTCCCGCTCCTTTCCTCTGGCCTGCTGGTACAGCTGAAGGGGGGGTCGTTAGTGTGAGCTGTACACTGGTCACTGCAGGCTACCTCGTCTCGATTCCCCACTGGGACGTCAATGTCTGACCACGATGCGGGGGGTGGTATCGTGACCTCTGCCTCAACCACCTCTCGATTCCCCTCTGGGACGTCATCGTCTGTCGACGAAACGGGGGGTGGCACGTTGCCGCCGCTGCTGCTGCTATGCTCCGATATGTCGTTGTGCGTGGCAAGATCCTCAGGATGGTCGTCTGTCGTCGTCACGGGGCGTTGAGGTGGTCCGTGCTCAGGGCGGCCTTCGGGGACGGGGCTGGGGCTCGAGACGCCCCGATTTGCATCTGGCCTAACGGGCCCCATTTCACTTCTGGGATTCGGTAATATCGAAACCGCGCCCCCTTCTGGTCTAACGGGCCCCATTTCAGTCGTGGCAGAATCCTCCGGATGGTCGTCAGTCGCCCTGGTCACCACGGCTGGAGCCGCCTCGAAATTCTGAGTTCCTGGTCCCGTGACGGGGGAGGTAAAGGGAGGAGGAGGGACGCCCTCCAAATCCTGGAAGAGCATGCCGATGACCGCCGTTATGGCCAGCCGAAAGTTGGCAATCTTAGCCGCCAGCTTCGACTGCCTGGCCGCGGCGACGCTGGCCGACAGCACCTTCCAGTCGAAGTCGCCCACCGAGACATCGGTGCCATCGGACTGGTCCTGGAACAGCTCGCAAAGCGCACAGTAGGCCACGATTTGCCCCAAGCCTGCCGCGGGGACTTCGGAGATGGCGCTGAGGTTCGCCATCATGGCCAGGCGGCCGTTCGCGATCTCGGCATTCAACCTGCACTGCCTGACCGTGGCGTCGGTGCTGTAGAGAACGATAAGCCTCCATCCGAGCTCGCCAGGCTTCCTGTTAGGGTCCGAATTGTACCCGAACGGGCCCGACTCGCGGTAGAGGCAGTGCTCCACAATCTGCAGCCAGCCGGGTCCTGGCACCTTGGAGAGGGCAGCCAGCCCGTTCAGGATGTCCTCGAACTTCACCCCGAGAGACGGGGAGATCTCGCCAGGAAACTTGCCAGCAACCTCGGGCGTGATGTAGCCCATCGTGGCGAGCATGCTCACGCGCCCATCCTTATTCTCTGTCTCGCGGAGCCTCTTGAAGGCCGCGGCGTCACCGTCTTTCGTGAAGCCTGCGGGGTCCCAGAAGCCCACTGGCGCCTGCACGCCCAGCTCGCTCTCGAAGGCGCGCAGCGGGGAGTCCGTATACAGCGCCCAATCGCCCCACGCGCTGCCCGAGAGGCCGTCCTGGTAGAACACCCGTTGAAGGTGTGTTGCACAGGCCTACGTGGCCAACACCTGGAGCCAATCCTTGTGGAAGAAAAACGTAAAGACATCGCAGTCCAGGCGCGGGCCCCATGGTGTCCAGGGGCCACCGTTCCTGATGAAGGCGCAGTCCTCCATCAGGTTGCCCCGCCACAGGACGCCCTGTAAAGAGCACGTTGGACCACATGGTGTGGAACGGGACATGCACGCTGTAAGAATCAAGTGCCCGAGGTCGAAAAAACTGTGTCATGCAGAACATACACACGATGCCGAGAACGAAGTGCCATGCGGTAGCCGATGACGATGATGAAGTGCCGTGTGAGAGCCAAAGACGATAGTGAAGTGCAACCTGTATACCAGCATGTACGAACTAACGCTCACGCCATGGAATAAGTAGAGGAAGGACAAACACAGCACGTCAAAGATGTACAAGAAGTAACACTACGCACACAGAAAGGCCCGTACGGGAGCCGATGACTATAACGAAGTGCCGTGTGGGAGCAAAAGACGATAATGAAGTGCGACCTGGTTCCCTGCATGTACGAACTAATGCTCATGCCATGGAAGAAGTGGAGGAAGGACAAGCACAAGACGTCAAAGGTGTACAAAAAAATTACACTGCGCACAACAGAAGACCATACGGGAGCCGATGACGATAATGAAGTGCCGTGTGGTAGCCGATGACTCTCATGAAGTGCCGCCTTGCCCCACGCATGTACGAACTAACGCTCCCGCCATGGAAGGGCAAGCACAAGACGCCAACGGTGTACAAAAAGTTACACTGCACACAACAGAAGACCATACGGTGGCCGATGACTATAGTGAAGTGCCGCGTGGTAGCCGATGACTCTAATGAAGTGCCGCCTTGCCCCCTGCATGTACGAACGAACGCTCCCGCCATGGAAGAAGTGGAGGAATACCAAGCCCGCCCCGTCAAAGATGTACAAAAAGTTGATCTGCTGACGAACCTCACGCAGAAAACTAAGATGTGGAAGACCATGCACACGCACTCACATAATGCCCAATCCTGCCATGACAAACGCCACCTCCGTCTCTGCATGTACGACCTAACGCACACGCCCGAGGAGAAGTGGAAGAATAGCAAGCACAGCACGACAATGATGAACAGCATGCGGCACTGGAAGAAGAGGCCGACCATACAATGTCGAATTATGCCCGGCCACGTACCGGCATCACTGGCGATTAGCAGCGGAAAGCATCTTCAGGTCATCCCACGCCGCCTTGTGCAATCCAGTCTGCCCCCACCTGTGAGGAGCAATTTTCCACTCATCGTTGTCGACAGAACAAAGATCGTCCAAGGCCTTACGAAACTCCGCACTGCACAGACTGCCCACTGCAAGCTCAAGCACCCAAGACCTACCATCCTTGGGCTCAGCGTACCGTGGTTTCATGCTGGCAACCCACCGCTCTAGCTGTGGTACAGAAATAGACTCCAAGGTAGCCACCGCCTGCTGTACATGCTCCGGCTCCTGCGACAAGTCCTTTTTCAACTTGGTGACGACACCGGCGAAGAGCCACACACGCTTCTCACCCAATGGATGCTGCTCCCGGGCCTTACCCTGCTCGTAAACTGGAAGATTATCCGACCATTTGTCCAAGTGAGCCTTCAAGTCCTTCTGCTTGGGAGGCTTTTTGATCAAAAACACAACATTGGTAGCGCAAGCGGTCGCCTCGGATTTCTCTGCCGTTTGCAAACCAAGCCTGAGGGTACGCTCCACGATGCTATTCAAGTCCATGCGCGCCGCGGCAGGGACCGCCGACCGAGGACGCTTGGCTCCCTGCGCCGTCGGCTGGCCGGCAGCCTTGGCAAGCAGGTCGGCCATAGAAGCCATAATGCCCACACCGGTTGTGTATCGTGGCAAGAAGAGCGATGCTGCCAAAGAGCCGCTGTGACATGAGAATCCGTACATAGCAAGAGGCACCAATGCAATTGTGGCAACCTGCGTGACATGAAGTACACAAACACGCACACACATACACGTAAGATGTGCACCACGTACAATGGCAGACCCCAGGATGCATGCAATACCTGTAACTGTGATTAGTGTAGTTCCCTGTTGCATAGTCCCCTGTTGCATACCGGTAACAGTGATTAGTGCAGCCCCCGTACCATTATATCCCACATGACAAGATAATGCGTACTCGATACACTGTGTGCTTCACAACTTACCACTTAAGTGTATATCACATGCTGTACCAACAGTTCCCAGACGTATTGACGTAGTGCTGCGGAGTGCTGCGTGGTGCTGCGTAGTGCTGCGTAGTGCTGCGTAGTGCCGTGGTAGTACCGTAGTGCTGCGTAGTGCTACGTAGTGCTGCGTGGTGCTGCGTAGTGCAACGTAGTGCTGCGTAGTGCTGCGTACTGCTATGTAGTGTTGTTTCAGGCGCTGGTGTTGCTGGTGATGGTGCATTGGTGTTACTGGTGCTGGTGCTGCTGGTCGCTGGTGGAGTCTGCATAAGTGCCCCCGAGGTGGCGACACACCGGCGTCCACCCGGCGAGCGTGGACACAAGAAGTATTCCACATAAGTGTATATCACATGCTGTACCAACAGTTCCCAGACGTATAGACGTAGTGCTGCGTAGTGCTGCGTAGTGCTGCGTAGTGCTGCGTAGTGCTGCGTAGTGCCGTGGTAGTGCCGTAGTGCTGCGTGGTGCTACGTAGTGCTGCGTAGTGCTGCGTAGTGCAACGTAGTGCTGCGTAGTGCTGCGTACTGCAATGTAGTGTTGTTACTGGCGCTGGTGTTGCTGATGATGATGCATTGGTGTTACTGGTGCTGGTGCTGCTGGTCGCTGGTGGAGTCTGCATAAGTGCCCCCGAGGTGGCGACACACCGGCGTCCACCCGGCGAGCGTGGACACAAGAAGTATTCAACATGATGCACACGTCCGAGCGACAACTTCAGGGCGCACTAGCTGCCCACAAGAAAATATCAAACAAGGATGCCGCCACACAGCGCCTGACACACAGTGCCTTACACTACAGTACCCGTCCTGGCACTGCTTGGTCGTCAAGATCGTGCCACTGCCCCAAATCCGTAGGAAGACCAGCACGTGCCCGGCGCGCCTTGCAGTTGCAACTGTGCCGTCCCCGTGCCTTGGGCGTGGTAAAACACGTACCGCAATGTGGGCAAGAGTATTCCCCCCCACCAGCACAAACTCGTACCCGCCACAGCCAACCGTCGTAGGGCATACGCTCACATCCCAACGAGTGTTTGATACGCTCCGAGGAGCCAGGAAACGTCCGCTCGCAGAAAGGACACTGTCTCTTGCATCCCCCTTCCGGCAAAGAGGGAGGTGGTAAGTCTGTAAGCGTAATCACTCGTTGCAACCGGGCGTCTGCATACCGACGTACAAAGTTCTTCTTCTGATACTGCTCCCGTACCGTCACAGGGTCAAAGTTCATGCACAGCTTCGTAGCCTGCTGGAGTGCACCACCAGAGGGTAAAGGCGGAAGAAGGCCATCCGGTCTAGCCTGCTTACCACGAAGCCGGCGAGCAGGCAGTGCAGGACGCTGCCGTACCTGTCGTTCTGCAGACGCAACCGCTTCAGGTCGAGGTGCACACCGCTGCTGCCGTTGCTCTTCCGTCAGTGTGGCGCAAACTGTAACATGTGCACGCATCGCACGTAAGTAGAAACGTTTGGAGCATCCAAGAAGACCACACAGGTATCGCCCATCATCACACCTCGTGCAGCCCAGCTCGTCGCACGCCTTCTGCGCGGCCGTCGACACTCTCCCCTCCGCAGCTTGCGCCGCATGTCTCTTCTGCCACGTGTCCTCGTCACACCGCTGCTGCTGTAGCCGTGTCCATTTCCGTATTAAAGCCGTCCATACCGCGCCATCCTCCTGACGAGCAACCACCATCCACTGATCAGCCCACTGTTCCGCAGGTACAGATGTGAACTCTCGTAGCTCCTGTAGTCTTTCCCACCATTGATGCCTCGAGCAGGTGGCCCCCTTGTGGCTGGGATGCTGCGTCTCGCGTGGTATCCAAGCGTAGAGAGCCCGACGTTCCGGACGGTCGTCAGGAAGGCGAGCAATATGCCCCAGATATCGCAATTGTCCTTGCCCAATGTAGGTGCTGATGTGGAGGATGCCCAGCTTGTTGTTTAGATCTTGCTGCGTAAGCTGGTCATGCTCCATAAGGCTGAGTTTCTGCCCCAAAGTTCCCCGCACCACCCCGTTGAGAAAGGTTTGCCAACTTCGCACCGTACGTCGGCTCACGCACCTGCTTTCCGTACCAAAGAGTAAACATCTGACAACAGCCGCCTGCACCAGGGAACCTAAGATCTTGGCCGGTAGACCAAACCGCGGTAATTGCCGTCGAAGTCGCTGCCATACCTTTTTGGCCGCCGAAAGCCGCTTGTCATCATCCACCTGGTAGCGACCGTCAGCAGACAGCCAACCTCCGAGAAGACGAGCGGCAGCTTGAAATATAGCCTTGTCATACTCCGGGGCAACAAGCAGGCGCTTGGTCTTGGCAGGTTTGATCTCCTCCCCCCAGTCCTTCAAAGTCTCAGTAAGCAGCTCCTCGAGACGTGGCCGAATCTGCTCCCGACATACCATAGAAGTGTCATCAGCGAACATGATGTTGAGAAGAGACAACATTTCAGTGCGACGACCCAAACGAGCCAATAGCCGTGATCCCGGTACCGTGCGGGAGTTCACCCTCCTGTTAAAAGCTCTTCCGTCAAGAGAACAAAGATCGATAAAGGCTTCCGGGTGCTCGTTGCGAAGAGGGGCGGTCCGCGAAGAGAAGTCCGACATCGCAGCATCATGGTACAGAGTGTAGCACCCCGGCGACGTGGTGCATCCTTCTCGGAATCCAACCTGCAAGGTGTAGGTGTCACTCAGGCCGGCCTTACTCGCCATTTGATAGAACGTATTATCGTGGAGGCCACGCAGCACGGCCAACAAGGTGGGAGGAAAGCCAAGCCGAGAGAAAAGATGATACGCCGCTTCCCTGTCCACGGAAGGGAAGGCCTTCCGTATGTCAAAGAAGACCAGAGAAAGACACATCCCGAGATCAGACTCAGCACCCGGTGCATGCGCCACTTCAGCCGCAAGCTCCAAAACCAAGCGCACGACCAGAAGCGCGTCCTGCACACTCCGATGCTTACGGTTGCCGAACTGGAAATTGGACAATAAGCGGTGCTCCTCTGCGTACCTCATCACACGTGTGGCCACCACCCGACCAAGCAATCGTGAAACCACAGATAATAGAACAATAGTCCTGTAGTTGTCGAGTTTGGTGCGTTCTCCTTCCCCTTTATAGAGGGCCACCCCGATACCTACCCGAAGTAGTTCTTCCCATTCGGCACCGGGCGTGGTCCAGAGCGCACACAACAATCGATACAGTTCGGATCGTGCCCGCGGTCCGGCAGACCGTAGCATGTTCGCAGTGACCCCATCCTTCCCAGGCGCCGTTTCTCGCAAAGCGGAAAGTGCAGCATGATATTCGTCACGACTCGGTAAGTCACCAAGTGCTGTACACATCTGGCGAGCGGGAACGGCAGCATCAATCATGTCCTTGGACACCGGCTCCCGCTGAGCAGAAACCGTCATGTTATGCTTACGTAAATCCGCAAGGGAAAAAGGTGTCAGTCCAGAATTGTTTATGCCCTGTACGACCACTCCAAGGGAGCGCAGATGCTGATGGAACCGTCCCCAATCACCCTGATTCATTGCTGCGTTCAAACGGCCGATTATCTCACGTACATACCGTGACCGTGCCTTCTTGAGAAAATCTTTGCGCCGTCGCTTGGCTAGCTTGTAATTTTTCAAGGCCTCGACCTCCTCAAGTGTTTGCTGTGCCCGCCGTACATCGTCCCAGCGCGCCGTGATGGTAGCATCCAGCGATTCCAGAGAGATCTTGTCCTGAGCAGAAAGAGGAGCACCAGGGCGCGATGCGACTCGAGTACCGGCAACCACGTCTACGGCTCCGCGGAGCAGCTCTGCAAACTTCGACCAAGCAAGAGTGGGGGGGCCGGGATGAGGAGTCGGGTCCGCAGCCGGCTGTGGCGGACCACCCGAAGACCCCCGCGAGCCGCTGTCTAAGCCAGCGCTCTTGCCCCTCAATCGTCGCCGAGGGATGTCCCTGAGGATACCAGCCTTACCATCCGTAGCCAACCGGTCCGCGGCCTCATTCCCAAGATTACCATCGTGGCCGTGAACCCAACAGAAAGACACCCTGAACCGCAAGCGAGCACGAGCGAGAAGTTTTTGTGCCCGTCGTACCAATGTAAGGTTAGACGACGGCGTCCAGAATCCTTGTGTCATGTTGGCAGCATAAGTAGAGTCGTAATGTATAACCAAATGCTGAAAACGAAATTCGGCATCCAATGCAAACTGCAGACACTTGATAATGGCTGTGAGCTCGCCGGTGTTATTCGTGTGGCGGTCAGCACCGAGGTAAGCGGAAGAAGAACTCGACGTCACAATGGGGCCACAAAACTCCCAGGCTCGTCCGCCCCGCCACGCCGCCAGCCCCCAACCAGCACGAGCCGGTGTCGTAACTATACCAGCCGTCACAGTCGCAGGATCTGCACCACCATCCGTGTACCCATGGAGCCGTGTCTCGTACGTATCTTCCCACCCATTTCCCTGAAAATCACAACCAGCTTCATCATCAGGAACCCCCAGATCCGCCATGCACGTATCCACCAATCCAGCAAATTGAGAACGTGCCGCCTCTGCTACCCCAGTCGGCCCACGTAGTACTTCTGACTGACAACGGTGGCGTTCATCACGAGGCTCGGCGGAGCGAGAAAAATGCAGAAATCGTTGCTTGCGTTGTTGTCGTTGCTCGGTTTTCTCCGGCGTGGCCACATGAAGATGCATAGTTTTACCCATGTGATCGGCAATACCAGGGAAAGTGTGTATACGGGGCTGCACCCAACCTTTAGCGTGGTCGGACACCAGGAACACGTCCAATTCGTACCACTGACCCGTCTGTGTATGCCGCCACGTACCCCGCCGACCACACGCGTGCCAACTATCTACATGTAGCAACCCAGAAGCAGCTATAAATTCTTTAAGCACTCTCCCACCCATCGTAGTCGCCGTACCCAGTCCCCGTGTACCAACCCGCTTACCGTCCCCGTCGTTGCTGCAGATATGCCCATTGAAATCCCCACCCCATAGTTGTGTAACCTCGGCCCCCAGCCGTGAAGACAAGCAACGTGCATACCTGTAGTGATCCCGCCGCGGACCAACCGTAGCACCCGTAGGACTATAGTTGCTTACACAGGCCACCCTCCGAGCGTACAAGGAGAAGACCACAGCGAGTAGACGATCAGACCCTTCTTCCCAGTGTAGCTGTCGTCCCCCCTCCTCCCATAATTTACCCAGAGCATGCCGTAATAGGATACCCACACGTCCCCGGGCAACCAACACAAACTCCTCAACATGTACCACATGCACGTCCATAGTGTGATAGTGTAGGTCTGTAACACACATGACATCCGTGCGCTGCGTGCGTGCACAAGTGACGACATTACGTAGCTTATGAGCGTGATGCACCAAATTCCATTGCAGACCCTGGCAATTCATGGTCGAAAAACGCAATCCGTATGATGGTAACAACTGTCGGCTAATTCGATGTGGACGTCGCACTCTGTCCCTGTGACGGCCGCAGCTCTTCACAGAACCGGTAACCTGTACCAAAAACTGCGGAGGATGCGATGCCACTCGTCCTGGCTCCACAACGGGGAAAGTGTTTAATGATGACGAGTCATCAAAGGCATCGGAGGTCTCCCCGCGAAACAGCCCCCGCAGCCTAGTAGGATGCCCCTTTGCCGTCACACACGCCTCAGCAGCGACATGGGACACCGCCCCAAGCGTCGCCCTTCACCTCGAAGTAGGCGGTGTAGACGTCACCCCTCCCCGGCTCGCAAAAGCTGGCGCCGGACATCCGCAGGGAGTGGTAGAACACCCCGATGATCGCCATCATCGCCAGCCTCTTGCGGGACTTGGTCTCGCCGGCCGGCAAGGTACTGCCGTTGGGCACGCCCAGGACGCCGCCGTTCTCGTAGTCGCCGAGAGCCCTCGAGGGGTCGTACAGAAGCCCGCCAGCGCCTGCACGCCCAGCTCGCTCTCGAAGGCGCGCCGCGGGGAGTCCGTGTATAGCGCCCAGTCGCCCCAGGCGCTGCCCGTGAGGCCGTCCTGGAAGAACATCCCGCTGATCGCCATCATGGCCAGGCGGCCGTTCGCGATCTCGGCATTCAGCCTCGAACTTCACCCCGAGAGACGGGGAGAACTCGCCAGGAAACTTGCCAGCGACCTCGGGCGTGATGTAGCCCATCGTGGCGAGCATGCTCACGCGCCCATGCTCGATCTCGGCGGCCGCCGCCAGCGGCCCGTCATAGGCGGCCGCGGCGGCGGCGGCGGCAGCGGCGGCCGCGGAGGGCGCAGCGGCAGGCGCGGCGGCACTGGCGGCCGCCGCCAGCCAGCCGCCGCCCCCAGCGTCACGATCAGCGGCCGCCGCCAGCGGCCCGCCAGAGGCGCCGCGCGGGCGGCGGCGGCAGCGGCGGCCGCGGCGGGCGCCTCGGGCGGGCGCGGCGGCACTCGCGGCCGCGGCGGCCCACAGCGGCGGCCGCCGCACCCCGCGCTGGCCGCGGCCGAGGCCGACAGGGGCCACGACGGGCCGCGGCGGCAGTGGGCCGGCCGGGCCGGCCGCGGCGGCGGCGCAGCAGGCGGCGGCGCGCCGCTGCCGCCGCCGCCGCGCCGAGCGCGACACCATGGCCGAGCGAGCGGGGGCGCGGAGGGGGGCGACCCCCTCGCACGCCCCCGCGGGCGGGGAGGCCGAGGACCGAGGGGCGGAGGCCCGGCCGGCCGCTGAGGCCCGCATGAGCCAGAGCGGCTTGAGCCAGGGGCTTGAGCCAGGCTACGGAGGAGGAGGCGATACGCGAAGCGTCAAGAATCTGAAAGCTGTAAACGCAGATCGGCTCGGGATGGCATCTGGAACGCCCCAGTGTCGCCTCAAGGCGGTCCAAGCATGGCCCAAGAGTTCAAAATGACGGCCCAAGAGGTTCCCAAAAGAGCCCCGAGAGGCCCAAAATACTGCCGCCGAAACTCATAAAGATAGCCCCCAAGGCGCCAACACGCTCTGCACCCGATTTGTATGGCCGTGAGTGTTGACCCACACCTCTACGGGACCCTCGCCACGAGTGGCGAAGCGAGAGGCCAATCGAACTCAGGGTATTTGGGGTAGTTGTCTTTCCCTCCCTCTCACTCCCCTCCGCCTACCATTATTTTCCTTTCCCCCCCTGCCTCCCCCACTTCGACAAGCCCGAGAGCCACCAGAACTACCACGACCTGAAGGCCATCAGTCCCACGGCGCCGCCCGCCACCAATTCTCCAACCACACCCACCAGGTCCGAACCCTCACTTCTCAACCATGCCTCCTCGTGCAGCGCCTCCACCGCGCCCGCGATGCATTCGCATCTCTATCCGCCAACCTGTCACCTGATGGAGCGGCACTCTCTTTGCAAGACCTGCTCAGGGTCGTGCAAGTCCGAGCAAGACCCCCTACCTAGCCTATCGGCTCCACCCCCACGCTGGCCCGATTCACCGCGCGGCCACGCGTCATCGGTGCCTGGCCGCGGGGACGGGGGACGCCCCGTTTCCGCAAGCCGCATAGCGCCCGAGCCCTTGCCCCCTGGCCGCCTACCGGGGCTTTGCCGACCTGGGCCCTTCCACCGCGGGGCGCCGAGAGACGTGGCGCATCGCCTGCTCAGCACCCTGCCTGCTGCTCCAGTCGCTTTGCGCCGGGGGGGGGTTGTTTCAACGCCCCCCGTACCCCAAGGTGGGCACCACCGCCATATGTGCTCCTGCGGCTCTGGCAACTGCAACTGCTGGCTGTGACGGAACCGCCGTCTACGTGTCCGCTCTCTCTCTCTCTCGATCTCTCGATCTCTCGATCTCTCGATCTCTCTCTCTCTCTCTCTCTTCATCTCCTCTCTCTCTCTCTCCTCTCACCCTTACGTCCTAACTGCCCCTCTCTCCTTCTTTCCATCTCTGGCTCGTGCGTGCCGGCAGCGCACTTTTGCTGCAGCGCCAAGGCTCCGGGCGAGCCACGGGCCGGGGGGCCGCTCGCAGCCTGCTGGTCCGTCCTCCGCCTCGGTCCCGAGGCGCCCAGATCGCCGGTCCCCCGTGTGCAGTGGAAGTCGTGGGATATCGCAGAAAGGCGCTCTCTCTCTCTCTCTCTCTCTCTCTCGCTCTCTCTCGCTCTCTCTCGCTCTCTCTCTCTCTCTCTCCCCCTCTCTACCTCTTGCTCTCTCCCCCTCTCTACCTCTTGCTCTCTCTCTCTCTCTTTCTCTCGTTCTCTCTCTCTCTCTCTCTCTCTCTTTTTCTCCCCCTTTCTCTTTAGTTGTTTTGTTCCTCTGTGTGTATATATATACCTATCCCTCTCTCTCTCTCTCTATATATATATATAGACCTCGCTCTCCCTCTCTCGTGGATGGCCGCCTCCGATCTCCGTCCACTCCCCCTCTCCCTTCTATAATCTTCCATATTCCACCTCCCTCGCCTGCCTCAAAGCCTGCAATCTTGTCCTCCGCCACCCATGGCACGCCCCAGGGAGGCCGTCCTCACCGCCCCTCCGGCGAGGGCGCCATCGCGGCGGCCGCGGCCTCCCCGCGGTGCCCCGCGTCGGAGGACGAGGGGCACGGAGGAGGAGGACAGGCAGGGAAATAGGGAGGGCGAAGGATGAGGTGGAGAGGAGGAGCGCGGGGAGGCGGAGGGGAGGAAGGAGGAGGAGGAAGGAGAGGAGGAGGAAGGGCAGGAGGAGTGTGGGAGGGCCAGGGACAGGAGGGGGAGGAGGAGGAGTAGGGAGGAGGGGATGAGGAGGAGGGACGGAAGGTGAAGGAGAGAGGTAGGGAGTGATGTGGAGGAGGAGGAGGAGGAGGGAGGAGGTAGAAGGGAGGTAAGGGAGTTCGATGGAAGAGGAGGAGGAGCTGCTCGAGTCACCTCTTTGGGAAATGATCGGAGGCACGATAGAACGGAGCCTCTGGGCCGCGGACTTGCGGGACCTCTGGGGCCGCGGGTTTACAAAAACGTATCTTAAGGGGCCCCAGAGCACACAAATAAATACACACAAATAAAAAGATTCCCCATATTTTCCCATATGTTTGGGGTTTTTGTCTTCCCCCCCACTTCCCATATTTTCGCATATTTTCCTGGGACTCGACGATTAATTGTGTCTGTGTGTTTTCTTCCTCTTGATTTCGGGACATCTGGGGCCACGGGTTTACAAAAACGTATCAGCGGATGTCGGGGCAGGGCAATGGAGACTGCAAAAAATCGTCAAGGGCTTACGTAACGACTTCTGCTGTCCCTCGACTGGCGCTGCAGCTCCCACGCGTTCTCCTGGCGAGCCTCGGACTACCTGGGTTTCCTCGAAGCGTCTGGATTCACGTCGACGTATCTGGATTTGCCTCGACTTATCTGGCCTCACCCCCACAGGTCGATTAGCGAAAAGCCATCAGCATCAGGCCGTCAGCGATGCAACGAAACTTGAGGGCGTCTGCGCACACCGCCTTTATGAGTGGAACCGATCCGTATCCCCACTGGCGTGGCCTGGGCCCCACTGGCCGACTCGCCCCCTAAATGGGGATGCAAGCTGCTCCCTTCGGGTCTCGAGGGGCCTGTCTCCAACTGGGGTGGTGGGATGGTGAGACTGAGATGCCATGGCCCGCTGGGGATGGGGGTGAATTGAACGATGCTGCTCCCCGGCGCTGGGGGGAGCCAGCGACGGTCTAGTCGTAAGTCGGGCGTGTCCCCCTACAGGGGGATTTTCGACGAAAAAAAAATTACGCTAGCGAGGAACCCCACATACTAAATTTAAATATGATGTGTTTGCTTATGTGTGTATATATACATGTATATATATATAAATATATACACATATATATATGTGTATATATATATATATATATATATGTGCACAGTCCTGCGTTCTGAGCCCTCGTCGCGAATGTTCCCTGCTAGGCTTTGCGCCAGTGTCGTGGATAGCGGCCGAGCTGAGAGACCACCCCCTGCGCACCCCCTGTGGTGTCGAGAAAGTGCCACGGCTGCAAAGCTTTGCGCCAGTGTCGTGGATAGCGGCCGAGCTGAGAGACCACCCCCTGCCCAGCCCCTTTGGTGTCGAGAAAGTGCCACGCCTGCTGTCTTTTTGCGGACTAGTTGTCGTGGATAGCACGGACGAGCTGAGAGACCACCCCACTGCGCACCCCCTGTGGTGTCGAGAACCTGTGCCAGCCTGCTAGCCTTGCGCCATGGGTCGTGGATAGGTGACCGCGGTGAGAGAACCACCCCTGGCACCACCCTGATGGTGTCGAGAAAGTGCCACGAACTGCTAGCATTTGCGGACAGTGTCGTGGATAGCGGCCGAGCTGAGAGACCACCCCCTGCGCACCCCCTGTGGTGTCGAGAAAGTGCCACGCCTGCTCGCCTTTGCGACAGTGTCGTGGATAGCGGCCGAGCTGAGAGACCACCCCCTGCGCACCCCCTGTGGTGTCGAGAAAGTGCCACGCCTGCTAGGCTTTGCGCCAGTGTCGTGGATAGCGGCCGAGCTGAGAGACCACCCCTTGCCCACCCCCTTTGGTGTCGAGAAAATGCCACGCCTGCTAGGCTTTGCGCCAGTGTCGTGGATAGCGACCGAACTGAGAGACCACCCTTGATTACGCCACCCCCTGGTTCATGTCGAGAAAGTTGACACGCCTCCGCTTAGCCTTTGCGACGGTGTCTGTCGTGGATAGCGGCCGAGCTGAGAGACCACCCCCTGCGCACCCCCTGTGGTGTCGAGAAAGTGCCACGCCTGCTAGGCTTTGCGCCAGTGTAGTGGATAGCGGCCGAGCTGAGAGACCACCCCCTGCGCACCTCCTGTGGTGTCGAGAAAGTGCCACGCCTGCTAGGCTTTGCGCCAGTGTCGTGGATAGCGGCCGGGCTGAGAGACCACCCCCTGCTCACCCCCTTTGGTGTCGAGAAAGTGGCACGCCTGCTAGGCTTTGCGCCAGTGTCGTGGATAGCGGCCGAACTGAGAGACCACCCCCTGCGCACCCCCTGTGGTGTCGAGAAAGTGCCACGCCTGCTAGGCTTTCGCCGCAGTGTCCCCACCTGAGCCACCCCCTGTGGTGTCGAGAAAGTGCCACGCCTTATCCGCTTTGCGCCAGTGCGTGGATTGCCCGGCACCTGAGAGACGCACCCCCCTGCGCAACCGCCTGTGGTTTGTCGAGAAAAGTGCCACGCCTGCAAGCCTTTGCGCCAATGTCGTGGATAGCGGCCGAGCTGAGAGACCACCCCCTGCGCACCCCCTTGTGGTGACGAGAAAGTGCCACGCCTGCTAAGCTTTGCGCCAGTGTCGTGGATAGCGGCCGAGCTGAGAGACCACCCCCTGCCCACCCCTTTTGGTGTCGAGAAAGTGCAACGCCTGCTAGGCGTTGCGCCAGTGTCGTGGATAGCGGCCGAGCTGAGAGACCACCCCCTGCACACCCACTGTGGTGTCGAGAAAGTGCCACGCCTTCTAGGCTTTGCGACAGCGTCGTGGATAGCGACCGAGCTGAGAGACCACCCCCTGCGCACCCCCTGTGGTGTCGAGAACGTGCCACACTTGCCTGCTTTGGCTTTGAGCCAGTGTCGTGGATAGCGGCCGAGCTGAGAGACCACCCCCTGCGCACCCCCTGTGGTGTCGAGAAAGTGCCACGTCTGCTAGGCTTTGCGCCAGTGTCGTGGATAGCGGCCGCGCTGAGAGACCACCCCCTGCCCACCCCCTGTGGTGTCGAGAAAGTGCCACGCCTGCTAGGCTTTGCGCCAGTGTCGTGGATAGCGGCCGAGCTGAGAGACCACCCCCTGCCCACCCCCTGTGGTGTCGAGAGAGTGCCACGCCTGCTAGGCTTTGCGCCAGTGTCGTGGATAGGGACCGCGGTGAGAGACCACCCCCTGCGCACCCCCTGTGGTGTCGAGAAAGTGCCACGCCTGCTAGGCTTTGCGCCAGTGTCGTGGATAGCGGCCGAGCTGAGAGACCACCCCCTGCCCACCCCCTGTGGTGTCGAGAAAGTGCCACGCTTGCTAGCCTTTGCGCCAGTGTCGTGGATTGCGGCCGAGCTGAGAGACCACCCCCTGCGCACCCCCTTTGGTGTCGAGAAAGTGCCACGCCTGCTAGCCTTTGCGCCAGTGTCGTGGATTTGGCGCGTCTGGAGACACCCCCTGCGCAAACCACCCCTTTGGTGTCGAGGAAAGTGCCACGCCTGCTAGGCTTTGCGCCAGTGTCGTGGATAGCGGCCGAGCTGAGAGACCACCCCCTGCCCACCCCTTGTGGTGTCGAGAAAGTGCCACGCCTGCTAGCCTTTTGCGCCAGTGTCGTGGATCGCGGCCGAACTGAGAGACCACCCCCTGCGCACCCCCTGTGGTGTCGAGAAAGTGCCACGCCTGCTAGGCTTTGAGCCAGTGTCGTGGATAGCGACCGAGCTGAGAGACCACCCCCTGCGCACCCCATGTGGTGTCGAGAACGTGCCACGCTTGCTAGGCTTTGCGCCAGTGTCGTGGATAGCGGCCGAGCTGAGAGACCACCCCCTCCGCATCCCCCTGTGGTGTCGAGAAAGTGCCACGCCTGCTAGCCTTTGCGCCAGTGTCGTGGATAGCGGCCGAGCTGAGAGACCACCCCCTGCCCACCCCCTGTGGTGTCGAGAAAGTGCCACGTCTGCTGGGCGTTGCGCCAGTGTCGTGGATAGCGGCCGAGCTGAGAGACCACCCCCTGCGCACCCCCTGCGGTGTCGAGAAAGTGCCACGCCTGCTGGGGGGAGGCTTTGCGCCAGGTGTCGTGAATAGCGCCGAGCTGAGAGGACCACCCACTTGCACACCCCCTGTGTTGAGCTGAAGTGCCACCCGCCTGCTAAAGCTCGCATGAGCATCCCGCCAGTGTCGTGAATAGCGGCCGAGCTGAGAGACCACCCCCTGCGCACCCCCTGTGGTGTCGAGAAAAGTGCCACGCCTGCTAGGCTTTGCGCCAGTGTCGTGGATAGCGGCCGAGCTGAGAGACCACCCCCTGCTCACCCCCTTTGGTGTCGAGAGAGTGCCACGCCTGCTAGGCTTTGCGCCAGTGCCGTGGATAGGGACCGCGGTGAGAGACCACCCCCTGCGCACCCCCTGTGGTGTCGAGAAAGTGCCACGCCTGCTAGGCTTTGCGCCAGTGTCGTGGATAGCGGCCGAGAAGAGAGACCACCCCCTGCCACCCCCTTTGGTGTCGAGAAAGTGCCACGCCTGCTAGGCGTTGCGCCAGTGTCGTGGATAGCGGCCGAACTGAGAGACCACCCCCTGCGCACCCCCTGTGGTGTCGAGAAAGTGCCACGCCTACTAAACTTTGCGACAGTGTCGTGGATAGCGACCGAGCTGAGGGACCACCCCCTGCGCACCCCCTGTGGTGTCGAGAAGGTGCCACGCTTGCTAGGCTTTGCGCCAGTGTCGTGGATAGCGGCCGAGCTGAGAGACCACCCCCTCCGCACCCCCTGTGGTGTCGAGAAAGTGCCACGCCTGCTGGGCTTTGTGCCAGTGTCGTGGATAGCGGCCGAACTGAGAGACCACCCCCTGCCCACCCCCTGTGGTGTCGCGAAAGTGCCACGCCTGCTAGGCTTTG